TCCCGAAGGATATTGATATCAGTAAATGAGGTGTGGCCCTATACTAAGTGTGAGTGTGGCAGTGTGCAATCTTACCTTTTAAGCAGGAGAGGAGAGTGCAGATGTCTTTTAAGTTGTCCCAATCCAAAAGGTGGGATCAGTTTATTTGAAGAAAAATGTGTCCACACTTTTACTGGGTTTCTACCTTCTCTCTTTTCAACAAGATAATCCTACAAAACATATCATGCTGTGATCATGTTCTAATATGCAACCCGAAATTCTACCTAAAGACACCTCCTCCATACCCATATTTGTGGAAACTGGGCATGGCCTCTGATGTACAGAACTGGACATGACCAGACATATGCTATGGCTATGGCATAAGACACACCTACTCTGCAGGACTTGCAAAATATTATTCTCGGCTATGACATAACCGGGGCCTCAGTGTATTTATCCTTAAGTCAGGAGCCCCCTCCCTGTGTACTGCTGTGAGGAAAGAGGGAAGAAACTGTCTCCTCTCTTATCAGTGACACCCATAAACCATTATAAGCCTTACACTCAATTAAACAAACCACTTGTGTTTTGTTTATACTGTAAATATAGAAAATCATAAAATATGAAGCATTTTCATTTTGGGTTATACAAGAATATAATTGATTATATTTGATTATAACTAACTTTCGTTTTAAGTATTCAACCTAATATGGAGATCTCAACAATGGCAAGGGGGTGAGTTTGTTTTTTCCTAATTTAGATAATTCAACCTCAGCTTCGATAATGAGTTTATTATAAAGAGTGCAGCAAAAATACAGACACTATGACCCTTAATGACAAAAACTGAAATAAAACCGATTAGAACCATACATTTAAAACTCAGTACAGAATTTAAATATGCAATTTATTATAATATAATATAATAATAATAATATAAAAGTTAAATTATTTCTACAGTATGATGAGTTCGATGTGCTAAATGTGATAAATCATAATTATCATTACGGTATGTGTTTTTTCCCACCTAAAAAAATGACAGTGAAACTATGTTAAGCTACTAGTATTAAAAGGATTTACATTTTGAAGAAATGAATGAATATTTGGTAGTTAGGGTCAGGATTGATGTTGGTTAGAAGATTTAACTCTGTGAAAGTGGAAAATAATTGTATAATATGGTGGTTTTGTGACGGTGACATTTTTTACGTTAAATGATCAGTCATATATCATCATTAATGATAAATCAGACTAACTTTATTAATGTGAGGCACAGCGGTTAAGATAGTTCTTATAAATATGTGAAGTATAAATAAGAGAAGGATACTGAAATATTCGTCCCGATTTCTGATGCCCAAACACTGTAGAAAGGGTTGTTCAAATGAACCCCCCTTTATATTAAAAAGCACATTAATATTGGAAGAAAGATAATACCAGAACACAAGAGATATTATCCAAATTCATCACCTTTCACTCAGGTCAAATACGAGGAGAATGGATGAGCCGAACATCACCAGCCCGACCTGCCACCAGTACGCCGACAGACGGTTCCTCTGACTCTGGTCCTGCAGAGATTGTCATGAAAGGAAATGTCATGCCTGGCAAGAAAGTATTGAAAACAAGTGCAGCAGAGAAGAAGAAGAAGGGGCTAACCATGAGGTGTTCACCACAGAAGATGATCCAGAAACAGAAGAGAGTGGCGTAGAAGACGCCCTGTTGAGCGTCTTCTAACAGCAGCATCCAGGTCCAATCACAGCCCAGAGACAGCCACTCCACCGGAACATTCAGGATCGTCATGGAGACGCCCAGAGCCAGAATCACCCTGTGCAAGGCAAATGTAATGACTTACATCTGCTCTTTACAACAAGTGACCTTCTGCTGCAGGCAGTGTTGACCTGCTTCTACCTGGCTGATCATGCACTTCAGACATGTTCCTTTCCCATGCTCTCAAAATGCCCCCCAGAACAAAACATACTACTAGACAGCATGTGATGGTTTACCTGTGGTTTTAAATCTGCACAGAGTGACTCAATAGCGTGGCCTGGCTTGCACTCAGAGTTTCAACATTAGAGCACTAGAGCCGTGTTATATCACCCTTTTTCAGTCTGCCATACAATATCTGAAGCGACAGGGGTGGTGTTCAATATAAAACATTTTTGTAACCAATTTACCAATACAATTTAAAATAATTCAATGAAACTCAACTAATTGCTATAATCTATGTGTGTTTTTTTTAATCATGTCTTTTTGGATTTCGTTTTTATATTATTGTAGACATGACTTTTGAAAGTATTTTTGGGGTATTTAATTATATTTTTCCTAGAGACATCTGCTATGATAATTTTACGTTTAACAACATCACTTCTCATAATGTTACTTTTTATTACATTTATTTTTAAGACAGTGTTTTATTTTTACCATAAGGTGTTACTGCGTTAATATTGAAGACGTTTGGGTTGACTGTCCATAATGTTACAATGTAACAGCAGTTAGTTTGATATAAATACATCTAGGCTACTTTGACATTGGCTCATACTTTTCCAGAAGGACTGGAGGTCTCGCCAGGAGGCCGATCCTGTGCCAGTACCAAACGGATGCCACAAATATCCAGGGAGTGAACACCGTCTTCATGCTGATCCACACTTTAGTAAAGCCTCCATTCTGGTGGATGCCCTGAGAGAAGAGGGACATCAAATGTTTGAATGCAACACATGTAAGATTCAAGATTTAACTCAAACTAAACACATAATGTCAGTTTAATTATAAGAACTAAACTCACCACGAGATTGATGTCTTTTATTTCTCCAATTCCAACATTTACTGTGTCATTTACCGGCAAGCGAAGGTTGATCAAGAAATATTTGTGGGCCACACTTCCCAGTTGCATGATTGGTATGGGGTCACAGTGATAAAAGCGTCCTTCGTTTTCATAAGTCTGCAAAACAATATATTCTTACAGGTCACCAGGCAAAAATAATGATTTGCTGGTATTTAAAGGTCTCCTATTATACTATTTTTAGGCATATATTATAGGTCTCAGATATATAAAAAACATGTCTATGAAGTGTTTTGCTCAAAATACCAAACAGATCACCCATTCTAGCCATGACTCATAGCCCTCTATTTCAGCCCTGTTGCTGCCATGATTAAACCCCATATCATGTTCCAAACCACATCAAGGATTATTTCTGAAACGTTATGGAGCTCAAATGCTTTTTCTCTTGCGGGTGAGTTCGAGTGAGTTCCTTTTATATCTGGCTTCTTTACAAATATTTTCTCCAGTACTGAGTGTTAGCAATGCCAATGCTAATGTAAACAAAGATCATATTACGTCCAAAACGTCACGCATTGTTTCTGATACAGCAACGTTTCTGATAGTGCCGTGTGTGTAAAGCCAGCCCACATTTCAGATATTACTTCATATCGGTGGATAATGGATCCGCTCCGTTGTTCCCCCGTTTTTAGAGATTTGGGTACGGAGGAAAAGAGAGAGGGTTGTATTTTCGGACACTTTGTGAGTCTACTGACACACCGGGGACACATATTTATGTATAAAAGACATCAAAAAGTGCATTTTGCATGATAGGAGACCTTTAATATTTGTAACCGTATCACTGATATGAAGAAATCTCTCAGTCGTTGGTCAACCAGAGAGCTTACTATTTTTGGCAGAGTACAAAGTGCATTTTGAATGATAGGAGACCTTTAATGCAGACGTTCAGGTTTACCTTAGGGACTGAAAACGTGCACCTGAGGGGCCTCTGCTCTACTGAGTGACGCGCTGTGGTCCACTCAGATTTCAGATCATCCCTGGGTGCCAGGCCAGCATCAATAGTGATGATGACGTCCTCTTCTATATAGGCAGACAGGGAGACGTCTTCATTCACCACAAGATATGATGGCATGAATCTGTACTATTTTCATTTCTGATAACTTACCAATCTGATTGATCATTTTGAATGCAATGTCAAACTGCAGAACAGCCAGCATGAACTGGAACCAGGGGCTCATCTGGGTGTTGGGGAGGGGTATGTGCACAGCGAAAACGATGTCGTTGGCATCCAGTGTTTTTGCCAGAGGCTCGTCGAAACTATTGACCTGCTGGCAACGGTTCGATCCCCACGGCATGAGCCAGCCATGCACCCTATGGCGATTTATACATTTAGTGGCCAAGTAGCGAATGGCACTGGTGGGACTGGGAGCTATGGGAAAGTGGAATAATATGTCAGAGACTTGCGGACATTTGGTGTTTATTGTACTCATTTAGTCAATTAGCTTTGTCTGTAACTTTCTTCTACTGTACTGTAAATTCACCAAAAGTGTTTAAATGTAACATCTTAGATAACTTGTGATACAAAAGAAAATAATGTAAGAATTTAACCGTGGAAATATCACAGTTGTGATAGCTCTTATTTTATTCCCATTTTGAATCCCACAATGTTATGAATTAAAGTGTGATATCCTGAATTCCCTCAATTGTACAACCGTTGACTAATTTGTCACCAAAACTAAACAAGAATTGTATTTTAAACATGATTTGTCATATATGTACGCAACTTACAGAGCTCAGTTTTCAACAGAGTAAATATTACGGTAATATCTAATAGTTTAAGATTTACATTTTTCCCCTTAAGTACAGACAAAATAAAGCTTTATTTTTTGTATTTTGCCAAAAAAGCCACTTGGGTAACTTTCCAGAAGTACAATTTCTTCTTTCAACATTTAAATAAACAAGCAATAAATCTCACTTACCAATTAATGCCCCAACCATGATGGAAAGAACTTGGAAACCAAGAATAACAAATCCCAAGAAAAACAATTTCTTAGTGCTCATGTTCTCTATTACTGCTCCTGACATTTGAAAGAGTATTTGGTCAAGTGAAGCACGTGCCTGCCGTCCCTGAAGGCTAAGAGCTGCTCTGCTGCTCGTCTACCTGCTCACACACACTGATCCTCTGTGGAGCCAGAGTGAGAGCAGAGAGGGGAGGGGGAGGTTTGATAAGGTTTCGCATGATTAGAACACAAAACAATTGTCTATAAAACGTGATTCCTTTATTGCTTAAAGAATACAACTTTGTAGGATAGGCGAGTGAATGTGTATCACATCAACGTCACTTGTCTTTACACTGAGGATTGACCACAGTCACAATGCAAATGTTTCATACTGCACCCGGAGAGATGGGAAATAACAAATTCAGCCTGGATATCAAAGCATCTTACAGAGTCATATGTTAATAATCCTTAACATTGTTTATACTGACCTGGAGCCAGCAGCGAGAATCACAGTAGCACCTACACCTTTAAAAAACACTACCTCCGGCTGTTAGTCTATCTTTGGTTCTATGAGACAAAAATATACCGTTTCTGAAAGGTGTAGCTATGTAGCAATACTGTGGGTGGTTCAAGGTAGAAAGTAAAGAAACATAACGTTATCTTAATGGCCTAAAAATTAACCAATGACAATTTCATTTCTCTATTTAACCAAAATAAATCCTATATTCACAACCCCTCAAATGAACCTCTTTTGAACCAATGTATCAACAAGGGGGTAAAGAAAACACTTTCTGCCAAGTGACCATCAAACCACATGATAGGAGAAATCCACTGCTCTGAAACCATTCAAAAGCAGTTCTCCTACACCACCAAAAGTGATTAAGTACAACTGATAACATAATCAAGCTATCTGGTGCAGTACCTGAAGGAGAGAAACACTTTTCTGCATTATCACCAAAAATCACTGACATATCCCAGGCAATGTCTGCCTTCTGTTTCCACAACACATCCAGAAATCTACAACGCACAACATAATATCCAGAAATAATTAAACAGAAGAAGGGAAAAAGTAGGGAAGATGAGACTGATTTAACACTTCATTCACAGCCTCTCAGTCCAAATCATCATGGTGTCTGAATGTGTGGCAATCTTGGAATCCCCCTTCATTTTTCTTTTCAGTGTTCATTCCAATGTGCATTATCCATGTTGCACTGATGTACAGCGGCGGTCTGACCCGCCTCACGTCTCTGCCGACGACAGCACTGGGGGGGATTTGGGTGCCGCCGCTGTCCCAGGAAGGAGTTCAGATGTGTAGAACGGCATCCTGGGTTCACATGTCTTCCTCATCGTCTTCATCCTGAGATGACCCGGCCTGCTGGGCGGCGCTGGCGGATGCAGCCGCCATCTGCGCCTGCTGGGCCGCCTGCTGCATCTGGAGCCACTCCTGCTGGGCGAGCTCCGCCTGCTGCTGCCGCGCCTGAGGAGCACAGAGAGGCATGAGACAAGAGGACACTGCTGAGTGATTAGGGGATAACAAAGAATCACAATAGCCGCTTTCACACCAAGTACTTTGCCGTACTTAGTGCCCAGCACTTAGTGCCCCCACGGAACTAAGTACAGATCGCGTTCACACCGGAATAAATTCCCTGAGGGAAGATTACGCAAATGAGCCGCTGACGTCACTTCGTCTTCTTCTGCTTTGGGTTTACTGGCAGGCCGCAAACAACTTCACGGCGTATACTGCCACCCGAAGTCCCCGGCCGGGAGTCCCCGGAGTTGGGGACTGGCTTCAGTAGAAGCTGCTGGGACTCCCAGCAGCTTCTACTGAAGCCTTCAGAGTAAATCGCCAGAACGCCGACACCTCCTCATCAGTCCACCGCTCCCATGTTTTCTTTTGTGTTGCCATAAGTTATTCTCTCTCCGTTGGTGTTCAGTTGTAAATATAGATAAGTGTCTCAATTATGTAAAGACAGCATATGACCACACCTCTTTTACATATGTTTGGCTTTTATCACATACTGTCTTATGCATTTCCTCTTGACTTACACACTAAGATAGTAATCTTACAATATACCACATGTTATCAATGTTACTGCAGGCATTGAAACATATTGCATTAAACCATACACTTATTTCCTACCCCAGATCTACATTGGACCATGCACAATAAAATGGAGATCCACAGCATGGATTTGGAATCCTACCTTGGCAAACAGTTCCTGCTGTTGTCTGAGCAGCTCTTCCTCCGGGATCCCCAGGTTCTCCAGTCGAGAGCTGGCCTTCCTCCTCTTCAGAGCCACAGTTTTACACTCCTGCAGGACGTCCTTCACCTCCGTGATGTATGATGCGAAACCAAGGCTCTCTAGGGCTGTGGTGTGAAAACGAGACGAAACCGAAATGATTACTCTGTGGTTTAAAATGCAAGACAGGGAGACACACACACACCCTCTTGTGTCCATCAATACAGTAGACAGATGTTGATGTGCAGAGACAGAGCAGGACTCACCATTGATAACATGCTCAGGAGAGATGGTCTTCTTGTCGGACTTGTTGCATATTTCATTGGCTTCTGAGGATATGAGGTGTATGAACTCGGTGCAGCAGTTAACCACCAGCTCCCTGGCGTCGTTAGCCACCCGGACGTTAGGGAGAACTTCCTTGATCATCTTGTTGATAGCTGCTCTGGGGATGGTGAGGTCGTCGTCGTTTCCAGAGGAAGAAGCCATCGTGGCAGGCGAAAATAAACACAAACCAGCGAAATTAAAGCTCTTGACTGAAAAGTAAAAACACTAGCAGTCAAATGCAGGTTTCCTTGAGTTTCTGGAGTGTAATGGCCTTGTCAAGGCAACGTCAACATGAATTGAAATGTCATCAAGAAAATAAATCGTTTCCTCAACGTTAGCCGGTTGGCTATCTTGCTAACTAAGCTAAAGAGCGAATTTAACGGGGTGCAGTTTCTGCACAGCTGTTACACGGAATGTGACAGATAATTAAAGGTCCAAGAAACGTTGAAACAAAAATAAAAGAACGCATAAAACGTTAATACTAGGGGAGAAAATGCCTAGCTAGTCTAGCTAGCTAGTAGCTGTGGTCCCTGTCGCAAGAAAGCCGCAACCCAGAAGACAAGCGAAAGCGGAGTCTGAGAGCATGGCTAATGCTAGGCTAACAATGAACTGCCCCGGCCAGGTCTAACTAAATAGTTGACTGGGTAGAGACAACTACTAAAATAAAGTGGCCATAAAACTGCAGGCTACTGTTCCATGCATCGATCTAGTGGGTCAAACATGTCAACCAATCGTAAAGCTTTCAGCAGTTAATTTAACATTTTGTATGCTGGGTAACGTTAGCTTTTTAACCGGATACAACGTCAATGCCGGATACTATTTCTTCTTCGTGAGTATTTGTTGGCGTCTGACAAACCATCCCGGAGGCAAGACTGCCACCGCCTGACGGGAGTGTGGAACAAGGGTTTGTGCAGGGAGATGTTATCTAGATTAGGCCTATTTTAGCTAAACCAGGCTGTTGATAATTTCACAGTTTATCTTGCCTGCTGTTTGCCCTTAGAGTCCTCACAGTAAAGTGTTGAGGTACTTTCCCTTCCTTATTAACAGAATAGTGTGTTTCTCTTGATGTTGTATTTAATGCAATGAAATAGTACTTGTTCTTGTGTTTGCTACAGTGTGTAAATATTTCTTGTTGGATGCTGGTCTATTTTATATAATGACAGTGAAATTTTAATCTCAATACTCCTGCCATACTGAATGTCTCAGCTTAATCCAAGTTTAATGGAATTTGTAGGTGCATAATTGTTTGTTTTGCCAGGTTTGTCCAGAACATCCCCCTGCATTCCAAATATTCCGAAAGGAAACATTACTATAGTAAAGCTATACTTTACTGTCACAATGGTAACTATAATCAGACCAGATAACATAGGAAATAAGTGCAATTAGACTATAGTGGCAATAGTCAAGGATAACTTAATTAGAAGCTTAACAGTCTTTACATTTGTCAATAAAAAAACGACAACTAATTTAATAACTCATGAAAAGCGGTACAGATACATTTGCTGGCCTTTTGATTGAAACAAATTGGAGACGTTGAAGAAAATAAATGAATAATTGTAGAACTCAAATGGCTGTGTGCATGTTTCGAAGTAAGCCAAAAGTAATCACTCAGTAATGGAATTTGTTAATTTCAATGTAATCTGACCCAACCCTGTTTATTTCCTTCTCTTCTGATGGCATTTGTATATTGCCAATTGCTAGATACTGACAAATGATCCATCACTGTTTTTTATATATATATATATATATATATATATTCCTCTCATAGAATGTAAAAACGTTCATGATTGGCTTTCATATTTTATTTGCTCAATATATTCATTGTTTAAGCATTTCACCACAAAGACAACTTGGAGCAAAAAAATAGGCTTCACATTTTATGCTGGAAAATACCTTAATGACTTTATCTCATAAAAAATAATAAAGATGAGACTGTATGGGTTAGTTGCTCTTATCAGTTTCCATGGCAAAGCTCTTTCGACTTCTCCAGCGCAGAAGTTTGAGGAAGTTCAGACTGGCATTGAAGACCTTCTCGTGTTCAAACACCATCTTGTAAAACGTGTCGATTGGGAGGTCACCATTGGGGTCAGCATATTTAAGTGTGGTCATGGGGGTGTAAAGTGTGTTTGTCTGATGATGGAAAGATGGATTCTCCATGGTGATGATCTTGAGAGTATGCTGGGAGGAAGAACACAGAGCAAACATTAAGCAGTCCACACAATGCAGGAATTAATCTCAGAAGCAACAAATGATTAGGTGAAGAATGCTAACGTACCTCTGCTACATCTTCAGCAGTCCGCCCGAGGCTTTCAAAGATTTGATTGTAGTTCTTTAGGTAGATGTTTGTGAACATATCAGCTGTAATTGTGTCAGCCTTGCTGAGGTCAGTCTTCATGCCTTCATCATAGACTTTACGCTCAAACTCTGTTATCACTGGACCTGTCTCTATTAGGGAAATACTGGGAAAAAGAAAAAGAAGAAATGTATGAACATAATCATACCCATCCCAGTAGTAATACTACAGAGGTAATATTACTTTTATTTGGGGATGCATTAATCAAACTTTTTCAGTCCTGAATCCGTAGATACTTCGGCTTAGTGCATTGGCCCACAACCGAGTAGCTTCCTGACCCGATAATAGTGGTAAACTGTATGCCTGGAAGTGACTGGGATAATTCATTTATGTCTAAAGCAACACCGGGCTTAACTTGAAGGGCACATATTCTGCTCATTTTCAGGTTCATATTAGTATTAGTGTCTCTACTGGGACATGTCTCCATGCTTTAATGTTCAAAAAGCTCTTTATATTTCTCATACTGCCTGTGTTGCAGCATCTCTTTTCATCCTCTGTCTGAAACCAGAGCCCTGAGAAACTCCCTCAACACAGGGATTTTAGCTTTTGCAGGCCATTTACATGCACACAAACCTATAGAACACACTACAGAAAGGAAAACCAATAGGGCCTCTTTAAACATTGGTTATCTAACTTTTTAAGATTAGGGTTAGGATTTTTAAATAACAATAAAATGTAAGTGCACCAGGTTGTTGTCTATTAAAGTGACTGTATCCAATTCCAAATCGGCCCATTTGTCAATAATACCCAATCCAGATATTTGCCTTGTATCGGCTCATCTCGATTTTTAATGTAATGTATTTATTTGAATCCACCCTGCACAGCTATTTTATAACCCTCACCCTTAAATATAAGCTTACTGAAGGGTCTGCTGTGTTAGGACTTGCCACACCGGGGTGTGCTGAGGTTTTTTGCAAAGACATACTTGGCATATTTCCTCTGATAAGACAATTGTTGGTCTGGTTGTGTAATATAAGTGTGCAGATATTTCAACATACTGTAGGAAGATGCTGGTTGGCAGGCATTTACATGTTAGTTCTGATCCTTATCCTATCTTCATAAGCACATTTTGGATTGAAGGAGAAACAAGCTGAACATAAAACGAGCAGAATATGCAGTCTGTGTCTTGCAGAAGCAGAGTCAAATAAGTAACATCTTACTTGAGATTGAACCTCAGGGCTTGTACTGGCTTTCACAAAAGCCTTCCACTGCATTGAATAACATTCCTAAAAACAGAGTAAGCCCAGTAAGAAGAGTGTTTTGTTGCTTAAACAAATGCTCTCATGATAAACAGATTTGACCATCCTCACCCTGAATTCCCATGACGCTGCTTATTAACACAATATGGCCTTTTTTCCTCCTCTTCATGTCGGGTAGGATTTCCTTCAGCAGCCGCACAAACCCAAAGAAGTTGGTGTCCATGACAGTCTTCATCTCATCGATGGACTGACACTCGATTGGTCCAATCAGACCCATCCCAGCATTACTGACTGTGACAGAAAACCAATGTGAGTACTGTATAATTGTTATGTTTAAAAAAAATATATGATGCAGTTGCAGAATTTCTATATTTTGTGACCAAAAGGTGCGCTTAGGACGTCCACTCTGCGCTGCGGCAGGCTGTCCACACAGGCTCTGATGGAGTCCCCGTCACACACGTCCAACTGTTTGATGGCCAGGGTCCGGCCCAGAGTCCGGCCTGCTGCCTCCACCATGAGGTTCCTCATGTATTACATTACAGTACAGTCACAGTAAAACATACAGTTATTGCAAGTTTAGAGAAAGCTGGTCTTAAATGTGGACATTTTACCCACAGTGGCGGAGCTGGGGGGTGGCTGGGGGTGGCCGTGGCCACTCCCAGCTGAATCCTGGCCACCCTATTGGTCACCCCAAACACCCTCACCACGGGGGCCCAAACAATTTTAGAACATTAAGAAAAAAATGTTTAAGTAACCTTTCATCATTCATCAAGAATTAACATTAATAGGACGTTATATCGATAATGTAATCACTAAACTTACAATTCATTTAACATATTTTCTTCCAAAAGTTAATTATCCAAAGCCTCTGTACACCCCCTTCTATTTACATGTAATGGTTTGGTCCTGCCTCCAAACGTGGTGCAGCACCCACTTTCTAGCAGAGAGTGAGAGCATGTGAGGAGCAGGGATGCTAGTACTTACGTGTGTAGTATACCATGTCTCAACGACTTACAAAGTCAGGCTTTCAAAAGAGAAAAGAAAGGAGAGAAAGACAAGAGAGAGGGACTAAAGGGCGACAGTAATATATATATATATCAAAACAAAAAGCTAACATCTAATTTCAATTACACATTTCAAATACAGTATTTTTCCACATATTTAAAGGGGACCTATCATGCAAAATGCACTTTTGTACGTCTTTTATACATGAATATGTGTCCCCGGTGTGTCAGGGAACTCACCAAGTGTCAGAAAACACAACCCTCTCTCTTTTCCTCCATACCCAAATCTCTAAAAACGGGGCTGCAACGGATCTGATACAGACTGATACAGACTTGAAAATTCTCTGACGTCAGGAACGAGGAGCTCCACCTATATGGCCAACTCTCCACCTATCAGGGGAATGAGAGGTTGCCGTGGCATGGTAACAGCATGGTAATCCCACTTCTGACAACAACCTTTTTTGGGTAGGCAGTGGCTCAGTCTGTAGGGACTTGGTCTTGGAACCGAAGGGTCGCCGGTTCACGTCCCGATCGTACCAAAAAAATGTGAGCTGGTAGCTGGAGAGGTGCCAGTTCACCTCCAAGGCCACTGCCGAGGTGCCCTTGAGCAAGGCACTTAACTCCTATCTGCATGTGGTTGTGTGTGTGCATGTATATCCTTTGTGTTTGTGCATGTATATCCTCCCCTGTGTGTGTAATGTGTGTAAACACAACAGAGTGGGGAAAGACATTTCCCTGTAAGGGATTAATAAAGTGTTTCTTCTTCTTCTTCTAACAGCATGGTAACATGACGCTCGTGCCTCGCCCCCCTCCTTTGCAGGGGGGCGTGGTCAGCTGCAGCTCATGCAAAGACAGGGCTGGAGGAGAGCAAAATAGAACTAAATGAGGCATGGCTAAAATGCATGATCTGTTTGGTATTTTGAAAAAAAAAACTTCACAGACATGTTTTATATAGGTACAATATATTATTCAAATATAGCATGATAGGTCCACTTTAAGTTATATTTATTTGGATTTATGCATTCGTGTTGAGAATGTTCCATTCAAAAATGTTATTATTAAAAAGGCATGTACACCATAAAAGATGGCTATTGAGATCTATTGTCAGGAAAGTTAGTCTTATATCAAATAGTGAATTCTACTGCAGCAGAATGTTGCACGTCTGCACAGTGTTGTATTTTCACAGCTCAGTGTCAGTAAATATTGTGCGGTTAGTACTGGACTACAAGATAGATGCAAGCCTGTACATGTAGAGTTATTTAAAGCATAAATGAGTCGGTTGGGTTCTGGAGGTGTGGTTACAGCAATTGTGCTTGGTTGGCGTGGCCTGGGCCTGGTGGTGGGGCCCAATGTGATATCTTTTCATGGGATTTCCCTGGCGGCGCCCCTGGTTGTGTGAGTGTATGGCCAGAGGGCAGGACCTATAAACACATTTACTACCCAATAGCATTGTGAGGCTGAACAAAAGGACCTTTTGACTATGTAAATGTAGTCTTTTAAAAAACCAAAACATTTACTGACTTTTTTTGGATAGCTTAAGGTAATGTTGTAAAATTACAACCGGGGGCCTTACAGGGTTAAGGGCTATTGTTTATTGTTATTTACTTAAGATGTTTATTCTTAACCAATCATTTAATTAAAAAACTCTTATTTAAATTATGTGTGTGTGTCTCTGTATTCCTGATGATACACTGAGCTCATAGGGCTGCTGATCACCATAAGCTAAACAGTCTGTATATTGCACTACATTTGTATAATGTAAGCTTCGTTGATACTTTGCCTGCGGGAATACGAAAAAAATAGTTAGATATACTGAATATTATTTGATCTATTCCACCACTTAACCCCAAACAATGTAGAGGTGTGTTGTACAGTAGGTGCCTTAAATAACCCCTTATTTTCTAGTGAGATGTATTTTTATGTTCATATACTGTAATAGTGATTTCAATGCCACCCCAAAATGATCACTGGTTCCATCCTGGCCACCCCACTGAAAATGTCCTGGCTCCGCCACTGTTTACCCATGAACCTTTTCTTCTCATCTTTCTCGATGCGGGCAGCCAAGGCGAGGCCGATCCCGGAGGAGCAACCTGTGATGAGCACCACCTTCTGGGTCATCGTGCCGGTCTGCAGCGAGGAGGAGGATGAAGGAAAACAAAAGACGGGAGGCACTTTTAAACACCGCGGCGCTCCTTAATCCACAGCTCTGCACTGCAAATCAGCAGAAACCCTGAGCACATTACCATGCTGATGCTAGGGAGGATTTAGACTCAACGGAACAACTTGAATGTGACAGTAGATCAACTGTAAGACTTGATAGAAAAAAGCATGTGTTCTTGATTTAATGAAGTAAATGCAGAAAATACATATTTTTCAAATCTTTATTAAAATTCAGAATTTCTTTGAAAGATACGCTGAAAATGGGAAATGTTACCTTTAAATGTACATTCTTTTTGTCACAAACAGAAATGCAATTGTGATTTTTCTCAGCTCATCTCAAATGTAAATGTAAAAGTGTAAAATGTCCATACGGCCACACGGAACCTGGGAGGAATAGTGCATGATGTTTTTTTAATGGATTGTAAACAGTATACATGATCTTAACAGATAGGACAGGATGAAAACAAGCTGCAACAAAAATGACAGAAATGTTCCTAGCAAAGGTTTGATTTAATATATCTTTGATGCAGTGAATGATATAGTAATCTATGCATCAGATATTAAAAGGTTATATCTTTATTGCAGTTAAAACGCCCCTCCAACCACGCAGAACATCCTTTCAAAGCTCACAGCACCTTAAAGGTTGATTATTCTTTCAAGTTTGACGATACATGCGAAGTAGTGAATCTTTGTAAGTATACTGCAGCTATTTCTTAGCTTTTTTCCACTATTGCTTTCTGAGACGTGCTTTAGTGCACTCCAGAGGATCTTTCTCCCACATCTTGGAGTCCCAGGCGAGGAACCAGCCGGTGAAGTAGAGTGGCTCCTCCCCCTGTTTGATGATGCTGATGGGGACTCCTTCTCGGCCAGAGGGATCCGCCTTCACATAGTCTTTAGCTGAAAGAAAAAAGGATTCATCTCTGTACAAATTCTCTTGTTTCCTTTCTATTTATCATCAAGAGCTCTGTTTGTCTTACCAATCGTGGGTGATCCCTTTTTCTCTGTTTCATTGGCTTGTTTTCCAACCCAAACAAAGATCTGGTGGGAGAAAGAACCAAAGAGATTTAGCCAAAAGATAACAAATACAAATGAGACCTGCGAGAAATGACACTGAATTTCTATCAAAAGGGAAGGCAGCATACCTGATTCCAGGTGTCCAGAATCATGACATCATCGGGTAGCATATCAATCTGTGAGTACTCACCGGGCACCTCCTCCGCCTAAATATTGAGAAGTGGGTGTTACAAAGTGGCAGTTTTTCATTGGTAGGAAAATATGTAAAAATAAAAGCACGCACGCGTGTATCTGCCCAAAGTCAATTCACTATCTCGCAATATTAATGAAAGTTAAACATTAGAGTTTCCGCCTGTGTGAGCCATAATGTTTGTTTAGCCATTGTTGATTATTTCAAATGTTATCTTTTTTTTTTACACCACACACCATTGTAATATGTCACTATCTGCAATTGTCACATGGGTGTGGTTTAAGGTATTGAGTCCACCGGAGTTGTGTGCCGGGCTTGTGTGATGCACAAAGAGTGTGATTTGGTTCAGTTTCTTTTAGTTGGTCTTGCTGTAATTGTTTGTTTCGTTTTCTTATTAAGTTGGATGGAACAAGAACCAAACTTAGCCTCTTAAGGGTCTTAATTCAATAGGGATTTTCTCGCTACACCGCCCATAATTTAGATTCTCGCCAAAATGCAATTGGCTTTTCTTTGGCCATGCTACACGTTTCATCCAAATATTATGAAAATCTGGTCAAAGTTTTCAGTTATCCTGCTGACATCAATCAAACAAATCAACAAAGTGACTTTCTTTGCAGAGGTAATAAATAACCTGTCCTTATTGAATGAAACAGAAGATCATTTAGTTGCTCACTATCAGCCTGCCAGTCTTGTTTGAACAGCCGAACAGTCTTGGATGCCTGACCATCTTCTGCAGGGACTTGGAGGTCTGGTACTGCTTCTTCCCACCCAGTGCGGACCAGAAACCATCTGACAACAAGAAGAAAACCACAGTTTTCCACAGGAAATATTTGACACATATACCCTGCAGAGATTAAAGCTCTTTCTTCAGCACTCACTCGGCTCGTTGGTCTCCTCAACCACAGTGGCAGTTCCTCCAAGCATGGTGGCAACATGCCGAGCTGCTCCCATCTCCTCCGGGGCCGCCCCCTTACCCTTCCACAGGAACAGGGAATCAGGCGTCTTCAGCACAAACACATCGTTGGTGTTCAGGGAGGAGGCAGTGGGCTCCACCTGGGTCAGAGAAACACAAAGAGAGGGAGGAAGGTGAGAATCCTTTCAGCCTTAGTTTAACATTTCACATTTAACGTGATGAAAGTAGCTGACCTCAACAGCCCGGGTGGCTTTGGTGGAGCTCAGGCGGATATGGAAGAGTCGCGTGCAGCCAGGCTTGCTCTCGCCACCTTCGCGGGACGTCCCACCCAGGTGGACCACTAGAGGCTTTTCCTTGAACATGCTCACAAGATGAGGGGGTTCCTGGCCCTGAGTGACACGAACCTGCCAAGACCCAGCAGCAGCTTAGCCTTAATAACTACTCATTTACTCAAGTTACTGAAGTACAACACGTAGGAACTTTACTTGAGTATTTTCATTTTGTGCTACTTTATGCTTTTACTCAACTACATTTTTTTGACAAATGTTATACTTTTTACTGTATTTATTTTCATATATTTAGTTGCTAGTTATTTTTCATATTTTTCTTAATAATACAAAATATAATTCAAATGATGCATTATCAAGTATTGCTATAGGTTAAGCAACCTTGACGTAAAAAAATTATTTAAGATAAACCTCACCCTTTCAAGTGCAACATTGAAGTGATGAACACATGAATGCACCAATAATTCTAATAAAAATATGAATATGTTAATTAAAAGGGCCGTTCTGCATAACGAGTACTGGTACTTTTGGAACTTGAAGTATATTTTGATGCTATTACTTTTTGATATTTTGAATTCAGGAATGCTTGTAAGTGAGTATTTTAACACTGCAGTATTGATTTTAGTGAAATAAATAACCTGAGCACTTCTTCCATCTCTGCTTGAATGACAGCAGCAAGTTATTAAATAAGATGATAAGACCATAGATCATTTTCACAGTGAAGATCTTACCTGGGTAGCTGCTCCACCCATGGAATCGTCCAGCTGGACAGTGAGAAAGGCTGAGGCAGCCAGTTCATCCCTAGAGCACTTCAGCCCTTGCCTAAAGACAGCAAAGCCACATATATAAGTTTATTCATAACTCATTCAAGCATTAAGTAAATCAATGCTGATATTCACCGTAAATGCATTTAGCATGTTGTATAGGGACAGGCTTACTCTTTGTTCCCTTTTACTCTCTTTATATGTATTTTTCTATTCTTACTCCATCATACTCTCCACATTATCTTGCTACCATTCATATGCCAGTCAGGCTGCTGCTTTGTGTAAATAGCCTACAACACTTACAAAAGATGGTTATGATAAAGGAATTTGAACTTCTAGAGTAAAAAATCTACTTGGATTCTTCTTGCATTGTTTCTTAAAGGTATAGGTTGGACAATATGTAACTGCACTGAAGACCTCAACTTTTCTCTTAATGTCATGAACATGAACAAAAATAGCTTTAAAGGCCCGGACACACCAAGCTGACACGAAAGAACTGACACAGTCTGTGTTTTGGCCATGTGTCGCACTGGAACACACCGCAAAGACTTCAGGCGACGGCCAAGAAGCACGTACGAACTGCGCATGCATGAGTGGCAATAACTCTCCTTACCAGCAGGCGGCGGTAGTGTGTATTCGTCATTCAAAAGAGGCAACAACCGGAAGACAGACTGCGTGATAACCGAGAGAAGAAGAACATACTGCGCGATATAAACAAACAACAAATCGAACCTGTGTCGAGAGCTGGAGTTAAATGAAATCTCAGATTTGCCTTCTTAATAGTTTGTTTGTGTTGGGGAAATATTTTCCAAGGTCCATAACTTTGACCCAGTGTATCAGTTCATACTGCCCTGACTGAGCACACACACCTGTAACCTTGGCTGCTGTGCTCTCAGTGTTTTGTCTCCATGTTCCTGCTTGTTGGCGCCAGCTGATAGAGGTGTTATGATTCTATCTTGTTATGCACAATGTTGATTATTCTCTCTGAACTAGCTAAATACATGGGTCTAGGGTAGAGTTCTTCAGAATTGACGTGGCAACTCTCCCGTGAAGTCAGACCCTCGTGACTCGTGACTTGTGATGTGAATTCTCCGGCCGAAACTCGTAATAAACCATCAGTGTTTGACATCAAAGCTCCAGCTCTATCCCATGTCTCCTTCCTGAGTCGGTGACTCCCACTGCATTGCTACACAGAAGTTTCCCCCACAGTTTGGGTCCCTCACTTCCGTTTCACTTCTCATGCACTGATTCGCTAGCTGAACAGCCAATCAGAGTGATTTATTTTGCCGACAGCCTTTGGCCGACGGCCGAAAAGGTGTCGGCACGGCTGAAAAGACACGACGGTGCGGGCACACCAATCTGAGTAGGGCGTGTCGACGCTCATCGTCGGCCTGACGCCGATCGACGGCCAAAATCGGCTTGGTGTGTCCGGGCCTTTAGACCTTTATTATGTTAGTGCTCACAAGGTGCACATTCCTGAATAAAGTTGGGTCAGTAGAGGTCTAACAGGTAAATCTGGCCACGCTGAAAAGGTTGCACTCACCACATGTAGATGTTATGCTTCTCTCTGCCTCCGTCTGTGTAGGAGTACAGCACCAGGTAACAGTCTCCTCCAAAGAACTGTCCATATTTGGATGGGTCCACAGGAATTTTATCGCCTCCTTCCACACGCCAAATCTGCACACACCCAACATCGTCACCTCTACATTGTGATATCTAAAGCTGTGTTTTTCAACATTTTTGGGCCACCGCACACCAACAACCAAATAAATTACTAAATGACAGTCTAG